ATATATATATATATATATATATATATAAAATAAAAAAAATATTAAAATAAAAAAGAGAGAGAGAAGAAGAAGAAAAAAAAACTATGTACTGAAGGCTTCTCTAGATTCTTAAACAAGCAAGCAGAACAAGTAGTTAACTAGATAATTTATTAAGCTGATGTGTTCTAGATGCTAACGTGCCGTCCATGAGTCGTAACTACTATATCTATAAGTCGTTTATTTTTTAAAAACAAAACATATTCACAAGGTCACTTCCATCTTATTCAATCTATAAAGTAATGGTGAGAGTATTTTAAAGGTATCCTAATAATTGTCACATAGCTATATTTATTTTTTATTTTTGTTTTTTATTTTTTTTGTAAATCAATGTAATCAACACAAAAGTTATTATTTAAAATAAGGCAACTTGAGTGTACTTTCTTTTGTGAAGACAGGTTTCGCCTTGTTTACATGTTTTAGAAATTATCAAATTAGTTTTTTAGAAATTTCATTGTTTTTATTGAGTTTTTCATACATTTAAAATTATTTATATTCTTTTATTAGTAATTTTTAAATATATATATATATATATATATATATATATCTTTATACTTTAATCTAATTAAAAGGTGTTTTCTTAAAAAAAATTGATCTCTCCTGTTAAAAGAATTTATACTACTTTTATTTATAAAAAAAAAAACAATTTTATACTAAATTAATTGTCCATCTCATTTTAAATTAATTATTCTTTCATTATATTTTAAATTTTTCTTACTATAATTTCAATCTTTTACATGAATAAATTATACATACTTTCATCTATTATTTTCTTTAAATTTTTATTTTCCAATTTAAATTCGGGTAGAAAAAAACATCAGTACTGTACAACTTAGGGCTATTACTAAACGTGAGGGCACGATCTTTGGATCAACTTCTAAGGAACAAAGTGATCTGGAACTACTCTGTCGTGAAACATAAATTCATGAATATTCAGCCTTTCGGGTTTCGTAATGAAAATCAAGATTCCATTTCCTGTACAATGCCGGATTAGCAGATTCTATTAAGCAACAGTAATGCTTTTATAAATAATCAATACCAAAAAGCGATGGCCGATAGAGACACCACACTTTAGAAAATAAAAAACATTAAAATAATAATAATAACCTAGAGATACTGTTAAGTGTTGAGCAACAAATAATAAATTCTTTTTAAATTTCCATAATAATAACTCTTAGTTTTTTCTTTTATGATAAATATACAAAATATTATATATAAAAAATAGAGAAACCTAATTGAGAAATAAATTTAATACTTTTTTCACAAGTTAAATTATGCACTATGGAATACTTTTGCACTATTAAAGATATATTACCAAAAGAAAAAATTTAAAGATAATTTCTTGTCTTTTAATATATAATTAATGTTGTTTTGGTCATAATTAGAATTTAATTTGGATAGAATCTGTAAATATATTTATTAGTGAACCCTAAACTAAATGAAAGAACTTTTAATAAGAAGATAATAATAATAATAATAATAATAATAATAATAATAATAATAACAATCGCAAACTAAAAATAATTAAAAAATTAAAAGCCATTATCTTAGAAATAGACTAATAAAAGCGAGAATAATGTTTAGTAATGCAATTTTTATATATATATATATATATATATATATATATATATATCTTTATACTTTAATCTAATTAAAAGGTGTTTTCTTAAAAAAAATTGATCTCTCCTGTTAAAAGAATTTATACTACTTTTATTTATAAAAAAAAAAACAATTTTATACTAAATTAATTGTCCATCTCATTTTAAATTAATTATTCTTTCATTATATTTTAAATTTTTCTTACTATAATTTCAATCTTTTACATGAATAAATTATACATACTTTCATCTATTATTTTCTGTTTTCTTAAAAAAAATTGATCTCTCCTGTTAAAAGAATTTATACTACTTTTATTTATAAAAAAAAAAACAATTTTATACTAAATTAATTGTCCATCTCATTTTAAATTAATTATTCTTTCATTATATTTTAAATTTTTCTTACTATAATTTCAATCTTTTACATGAATAAATTATACATACTTTCATCTATTATTTTCTTTAAATTTTTATTTTCCAATTTAAATTCGGGTAGAAAAAAACATCAGTACTGTACAACTTAGGGCTATTACTAAACGTGAGGGCACGATCTTTGGATCAACTTCTAAGGAACAAAGTGATCTGGAACTACTCTGTCGTGAAACATAAATTCATGAATATTCAGCCTTTCGGGTTTCGTAATGAAAATCAAGATTCCATTTCCTGTACAATGCCGGATTAGCAGATTCTATTAAGCAACAGTAATGCTTTTATAAATAATCAATACCAAAAAGCGATGGCCGATAGAGACACCACACTTTAGAAAATAAAAAACATTAAAATAATAATAATAACCTAGAGATACTGTTAAGTGTTGAGCAACAAATAATAAATTCTTTTTAAATTTCCATAATAATAACTCTTAGTTTTTTCTTTTATGATAAATATACAAAATATTATATATAAAAAATAGAGAAACCTAATTGAGAAATAAATTTAATACTTTTTTCACAAGTTAAATTATGCACTATGGAATACTTTTGCACTATTAAAGATATATTACCAAAAGAAAAAATTTAAAGATAATTTCTTGTCTTTTAATATATAATTAATGTTGTTTTGGTCATAATTAGAATTTAATTTGGATAGAATCTGTAAATATATTTATTAGTGAACCCTAAACTAAATGAAAGAACTTTTAATAAGAAGATAATAATAATAATAATAATAATAATAATAATAATAATAATAACAATCGCAAACTAAAAATAATTAAAAAATTAAAAGCCATTATCTTAGAAATAGACTAATAAAAGCGAGAATAATGTTTAGTAATGCAGATGAGTGGGGTTTGACCAAGTCAAAACCAGAAGAGAAATGCTCCAAATCAGATCACGACTTTCAAAATGACAACTATTTGGGTTGCTTTTTTTGATTAAATTAGAAAAGAAAAGAGCGGGAATGCGGATGAATGGGGCAGTAACCAAGAACAGAGGACACTGAGTTCAGAGAGGGACCCATCAAACGTACCCTCCAATTTCCACAATCCATCTCCAGAAAACAAAACCTGCCCCCAATGCCTACACTCTGCTTTTCTTCCTCTCTTTGTGCTCTATTCAACTCTCAATCACTATTCATTCCAGCGAAAATATCTGCCTTTATCCATTTCCCTATCTTACACTGTGCCCTACAGTATCATTAACTATTATTTTAGGTATTGCGTTAATAATTCATTTTTTTTCCTTTCCCAATTTAACTTTCAAAAAAAATCTCTAAAATTATTCTCAGTCAAACATATTCATGCACAAAAGCACTACCGAGTCATGTAACAATTACGCATAATTAACTTTGCTTATTTGCCCACCTTATCACCACACATTCCACAAGATAGTAATCAGCAAAAGCTTAAAATGCAATCCTTGAACAGGAAAACAGAGACAAGGAAAATTTTGAGGAATTACACGAGTTGCCTTTACTACATATAGTATAACTTATTACATACTATTCTATAACGAGTAAGGGCTTTTACAAAGAGTTATGGGCAATATTCCAACGCTTTCTTGCCAGCTGGACTTGAACCATCTTCCAACACAATAAGCCCTTTACCCTTCTTCCATCAACATTAATTTAACATGGAAGAAAACGAACCCCTCAACCTTATTAAAATTAATAAATATATTCATAATCCATAATAAACCCTTCTCCTAAACTACTATCTTTCACTGTTTCTTCAACTAATAACAGATCCCAAAAGCTGCATCTCTCACAAAAAACCGGATGATTTATTGCCACTAAACTACCCAAACACATTCTTGAATCTCATCTTTATATTATAAATAAAAGAAAAACTAAAAAAAAAAAAACAACTTCCCTATCACAAGCCTACTAATTTCACTAGCTTTCTTTCTCCATGAAGGTTTTTAACTTGTAGCAATTGAATCTTCTTTGAACATTTATCAGAGGAGTTAGTACGTCCATTCCTGAGGCAGGCGAAGAACTTCATAGTTTGCTGCCTCGTCTCGTCGCAAGCTTAACTTCTGCTGCAAGAGAAGAGCATTCCTCCTTGCTATCAAAGCATCTACAACAAAAAAATAAACCCAAGACACAAATTAGTCAAGAATTCCGCTAAAGAACTTTACTCTGTAACAAAATGTTTCTCTTTTGTTAAACACCCACTTACCATAGTCCACGCCAAAAGCACTAGAGAAACGTGGTTGGCTAGCTGCATTCAGGTCATCCATGTTCAGGTTCAGTGCATGAATAACCTTAGCCGGGACCAAAACAGGTGCAGCACAGCCTGTAATAACACATCAAAACAAAACACAATCAGGTAACCACCAAAAAAGCCGAAACAAAGGCTTAAAACCAAGGAAAAAAAACAAATTCGGCGATTTACTTGTTTTCTTGCGAGATTCAGGGGGAGGGGGCCCATACTGACGAGGCAAGAAAACCCCTGTACCACCGCAGCCCCTTTTCACACCAGATCCAGTTTGCAACCCGGGTCGAGACCCGGATCCGAAATTGGCAACCTGGTGATTCTGGTGCTTCACTTGAAGAGGGTGCCATGCAGAATGAGGCAAAGGACGAGCACACTTCAAACCTTCGTAGTCATACCCAAACTCACGCAAATCACGCACTCTATTCTGAACTTCTGGACATGGATGCTGCTGCTGGGTCACCCAACTAGCCTTCCCTTGCCTCCCCCAAACCGAACCACCACACTGCACCTGCTCCGGCCTCACCTGATAACGAACCTAAACAAAAAACAAAAACAAAACACCCCATTTAAACATGCAAGTTCAGCTACGCATTTTCACAAACGCCTTACACACGGTGTTCAAAAGCACACCTGAGAAACACCCTGGTTGACGAAAAACGCATTCTCCGCAACAACGGGTGGAGGAAGCCCACCCAGCACCCCTCTATTGTAAAAATCCATCTTCGAAGTAGCCTCGTTAATCTTCAACCTCGCAACTTGCCCTGCAGCCGCGGACAACACATCCCACGCGTCATTTCCACCCTCAAACGGCGTCGTCGTTGGCGAGGGAACACGCGAGGACCCGTTGGGACTCCCTTCGCCGGAGCCACCGCTCCGACCCGACCAGCTTCCGATTCCACTCAGTATAGACTGAGGCGACCCGGCCAAGGCACGGGTCATCTTCTGACTCTGCCAAACAAAACCAAACAATGTTAGCTTCACCGAAAACAAAACCACAAACATTGTTTACTTTACTATTATTATTACCTCAGTTCTGGCACTGTTGAAGATGGGAAGAGTGAGCTGTTCCTTTCTTGTCTCGTTGAGCGAGGTGTGGCCGAGTCGACGAGTCAACCCGGCAAAGAAGTCCTCCTCGTCGCTGCTCTCGGTCCCGGTCGAACCGGACTCGAGCGGTTCGGTTCCGACGGAGTGGAACTCGTAGGGGAACTCCGAGGGGAAGGCAAAGGCGGGGTCCAAGTGGGTGTTCTCCTTGTCGAACTCGGCGTCCTCCATGGGCAAAGGTTGAAGCTTGAAGGAGGGAAAAGGGTTTTAAGAAAAAAGGGGTGCGAGGCCGTTACGAGGGTAATGAAGGGAACAAGGAAGTTGAAGTTGCTGGTTGAGGAAGATTTAATAATGACCCAGCTGTGTGTTCAGACGTAGGGTCCCAGCCAAGGGCGAAACCGAAAAAGCAAAAGAGAGAGAGAGAGTGTGTGTGTGTGTGTGTGTGTGAGAGTTGGAGGAGGATAATAGAATGTAAGAAGACAAGTTGCTTTTATTAAGGTTTCAGGGTCCCTTTGAGACAGTTCAAAATCAAAATATTGGTATGAAAATGAAAGAGAGAGAATTTTTAAACAACTGGAACATTGGCCCAGTGGTTGGGGACATTTGTCCTTGCATGCAACCCACCTGCCATTTGTCTACACTATTGCTACTAATCTTTCAAATTAATTAAGCGGCACAACAGTTTTAGTGTTTTACATTACATAACATAACATATCATATGATTGCTAATGTTTCTTTTGGGATGGGATTTTTATTTTTTACTGCTTCTCATTCTTCTACTTCCTTCGCTAGGTCCTTTCTTTGTTCTCGTGTTTTCAAATCAGATTTCAAAATTTTGGACTCAACGAATTGCCATTCACTCACCTAACTCCACTCCACTCCTTTTTTTGTCCCTACTTGCTTTTGGTAATTTTTGGACTTTGCCCGGATTCACTTTGAAATTTAAATTTTGAGTTCCAAGTTCTGACCTTGTTTTAAAATTCTTTCTATTTTATTTTTGTGGTGACTAGATCTGCCGTTGATGCTGACCTTGAGATGAAGGCTTTATGTAAATATGGAAGACGGTGGGGTCGTTTCTGTAATGTTTCATAGGACAATTTTCAAATGTTGGCTCAGTTGCTAATTACTCATCTCAGTGTTTGTTTACACGCGTCTTCGAAGTTGGACGTGCGTATCCGCTCACATTTTTACATCAAAAATTTATATAAACATACCATACGAGTTACAGTATGTTGCTTCGGAATTGACATGGATTTTCTACATCATATGCTAAACCAAACATATGCTTACTGTGTTATAATACTTCTGATTTTCTTTTCTTTTTATTTGGACATTATTCATCCAATATTTTTAAATTAACAAGCAAAATTTAATCTACACTTAAAAAATGTAGCTTCTATTCATCAAACATTAATTAAATATGACAGGAATCAAATTTTAAAATGTTAACTTGACTTCTAATAACACAAAACAGATTTTACAATTACTATATTAAAAGGTTTAATTATTTCCTTATTATGTCGGTGACAAAAAAGGAATAAGTATATTTTTTGAGTTTAAAATTAAGAATTAAGTTCTAATATTTATTTAAGGAAATTAATTTTTTAATAAATATTTTTTCATAGTTAATTAAGATTCAAATTTTGACGAATAAAACTATCTATTAATCGTGTACTTTTTTATTAAAAAAATTCAAATTAAAGATTTACTTTGTTTGGTTGAAAAATGCATAGGGTGTAATGTGATAGAACTTGATGATCATCATGCGTGCATATCGAAGAAAACAAGTCCCAAGGTTAATTTTTATTTTTCAAATTTAAATTTCGAACTTGGCTTATTTAGTTAATTCAAGATTATTTTCAGTTACACTATTAACTTCCAAAAAAACACATAACAACAAGGCATCAAATAAGAGGGGATAAAAACTAAACGATACATTAGCAATTTACTCGTACTTACGCAAATCAATTATTCCCTAATTATTTTTCAAAATTGATATTATTTATTCACCTTACCAACGCGAGTATTTATAATTTGACTGTCTATAAGAGTATAACCATCAACATCTATTACATTAATAAAACAGAAAATAATCAAAAATTGAAAAAGAATACTATAAATTATTATATCCATTGATAGAACTAGTAGATTAATAAAGATAAATTATTTAAATTTAAATTAATAAATAGATACTATTTTAATTTAATTAAGTCCTATGTTTTAAATACAATATTTTATCTTACATTAGTGTTTTGTAGTTTTTTTTTTCAACAAAAGAGTTTGTAAAGATTTTTTAACTTTTATCTAATTCAATTTTTATTAATTATAATTAATTATAAATTAAATATTAATATTTTAAAAATATTTCAATAAATAAAAAATATCACAATATAATTTATATATTTAAAAATATTTATGTATACTAATTTTAAATATAATTTATATATTCAAACATAATATTGATGTATATATATAATTTATTATAAATTTTAATTATATATAATAAATATATTTGTAGGATAAAATACTTGTATAATTTGTTGGTACCTATCAATAGATAAGATATAATATACTATTCGTGCCTCCTGATTAATTTAAAACAAAATCAAATCTATTTATTTTATCCATAAGTACTTGAGTATGAATAATTACATGTGGAGTTCAAATTCTCCCGGTAAGTGTTTGTAATTACAAATTCTCATCTTAATCATGGTATACAAAACTAACAAACATTACATCATATATTAATAAATTCCCAAATACAGTATTTAAAAAACTTATGATTGGCAGTATATATTAGATAGTCAGTCGAAAATGTTTTTTCTTATATTTTCTTAAATATGATTTCGCAGAATTTAATGTCTTTATAAAAGCTTTTAACAACTTTTCTACCTTTGTTTTTTCATAACACCGTTGGTTTAATATAATATTGAAAAAAGATTACCCTCACATCTTGAAATTTTAACAGTCTTTTTAGTGCTTCCAAAATTTATGCAATAATATGAATTTTGTTGTGTGAAATATTTTATATCATAAAATTTTATTAATTATTGTTTTTTTAGTAATAATTGTGTATTTCGGTGTTTTAAGGTGTGGTGTTGAAAGACTCATAAAGTTAATAAATTCTTAATGAGTCTTTAAGTATTTTAGAGAATATTTTTTGACCGAGATCCAGTTTGACTCTTAAAAAAAGAGTATATAAATTGTTATTTTTTACAATTAAGTTTCATAAATTTAGTTTTCAAAATACCTTAAAGAGATTATAGAGAGAAGAGTTTTGGAGATTCTAAACCTTCTTTCTTTCTAGATTCCCTAGAAAGACATTAGATCTTTGTTGGTCAGCAATGTGTAGCACTCATTATCGCACTAGGCACACCTTCATGACCCCTAACATGATTCAATTAAGGGTATGCAAGATTGGTGGTGATGGACGTGAGGAAAAAAAATTATCTCAAGTTGAATTAGCATCGAGTGTTGTTTGAATGTCATTGGATGAAAGGTGAGATAATTGGCTTTGCCTCGATTAAAGGAGTAGCATCAAGCGTGAGGGGGGGAGAATCGTATCAAGTTGGTGTGAGGCTGGCATGGAATTTAGTCATGATAGGAGTGAGGGCTTGAAGGTGTTGTACATATATGATATTCCAAAATAAAATGAGATCTAGAAATATTGTTATTTTGATTACATTAAATTAATTTAATTAATTAAGGAAACCTTATCTGAAAAAGATAGTTTTTCATATTTCAAATTGAAATTTGATTCTGTCATTAAAATCTTACCGTTACAAATCCGAATTAATTTTCTTTAATTATCCAGATTTATTATTTTAATTAATTCGGGTTAATTACTTTAAACGGTCAGATCCTATTAGGGTTTTTGAGACTCTATACATACAGGACACGACAATTTTAATTAAGAGGAACCCGAATGCTTTTCTCTACCTCTCTCTGAGTTCTCATAGTCTTCGACTGCCAGTTCTGCTCCTCGTTACTGAGACGACCCTGTTGTATCCTGGGGGGCTTGCGCGTATACCGCGAATAAGTCCTTAAGGTCAGTGCTATCACACGCCTCAGGGAGAATTTTACTAACGCCATTGTTTAGTGTTTCAGGTTCCAGGTTTATACGACTTGCGTCCACCAATTATTTACAACAGAAGGTTCCCTACCTCAGCCATGCCAAGTGCGAGTTGAGTTGTACCGAGCATGGGTGGCAAAAAACTCCCTACCTCAATGATATTAAATATAGGTTGGATAGCATTAGGATTTAGGAATATATTATCTTATTTGATTGTGTTGCTTATACTATTGTTTGGTGAGCATGTATATTATTGCTTTGGGAAACTTTCCAAAAAAATGTGCCAGTGGGGACAAAACATGCTAAAAAGTCTTGTGTTGATTTATGAGATTAGTCATTGATCCTAAAAGCGGACATACATCTAAAAAAGGACTACCCACATAGGGTTTTGACCAATGAAGAGTTATAACCAACAAGGGATTCTATGATAACATTTCTTTATTACAAGTGTTATCTAAATGGGTCCTATGACAACATTTATTTAAAACAATTGTTGTTTAAAAATGGTTTATAATAACACCTTTATAAAATAAGTGTTGTAAAGGGTCATACAATAACACTTGTTTATTACAAATGTTACCTATTTATATCCTATAATAACACTTTTAGTGTGCTATTAAAGGTAAATCCCCTTTAATAGCACGAACATTGACAACTCACAAAAATATTTTTTAAAAACCTTATTTAAATATTATTAAAGATCTTTTTTTTAGTAGTGTAACATTTTTGTTTTCTTAAAGTTATTTTTTTGGTTGCTTAGATAATCTTAAAGTTCCTCTTAAAAAAAAAAGATAATCTTAAAGTTAAAATATTTTTATAGTCTTTATATTAAATACTCAATCTTTTAGTCTTTATAGTTTAAAATAAATATTTTTAGTTTTTATATACATTTTTAAAAAAATATTTTTAGTCTTTATAATTTAAGGTAATTTTTTTAGAGCTTATGCTTATAATTTTTTAAATCTTTTTTTAGTCTCTGATGTTATTTTTTTAATAAATTTGTATCTTTTGTGTTAACGTAAAAAAATTATTAATTTAACTTTGTGTATTTTATGTTGAATTTATATTATTAAAGTTATTGTAAATTAGATCTTTCGATACTTTGCACTTTTTTGTATCTTTATTTACTCATTATTGAAATATTTTATTTAATTCACAAAATTGAATACTTGTACCATATCAACAAAAAAAAGCTAACAATTAAGACTAAAAAATTAAAAAAAATATTGTATAAAAACTTAAAAATCTATTTTAAACTACAAAAGACTATAATAATCAAAGAAGATAAACAATTTTTTATAAAAAAATATTTTAAACTATGAAAAATAAAAGATAAAATAAATAAAACTATATGACTTAAAAAAAGGTATTTTAAACTAAAGTGAAATTAAAAAAAGTGGCCATGGCCATAGAGTATACATTGTGACGTGGGATTATTGCTTTAATTAGGCAACTAGTTTGGTGATAAACAAAAGATGAGACAAAATGATTGTGACATTTGACCCATAAGTATGCATTATTACTGTTTATTACTACTAGCTTTGCTTTATTGCTTTCTGGTGACATTGTGAAGGCAAGAGGGTCAAGACACAGTGACATGGTCAAAATCAGAAAATATCCTTATCCTCTTCACTGACATGCAATAATAAGTTGATCTTATTTGCTTAATCATAACATAAAGACCCCATCACCATGCATGCTATTGCGCATGCTCAGCTCCTCCCTCATTCCTCGACATGCCAAACAAAACTCACCTCTTGCATCTTTTTATTCGCTTTATATGGGTCAAGTATTTCCTTCCTTAATTCAATTCTTTGTTTTCCAAAATACAAAGTACAAATCACTTCTTGGATCAGTTTGGCAATTCCATCTACAAATTTTACAGTCTTAATAGACTGAAATAAGTTTAGTTTGTGAAATAAGCTGTGTATTTTTTTTATATTTATGCCTGCCCTTCTAAATTTCCAAATAAATGTGAGGGTTTGCACACCTCCATTAATAAAAATTTGGAATTAAAAAAAACAAAAAATTGTCTAATTCAAAATAAATTGTTTCTTTATTTTTTTTTTAAGTTATGAAAACATGAAAAAATAATAATAATTTTTAATATAAATTTATAGAATACAAAAAAATTTAACATGTTAATGTTTACATATTCTAATAAAAGCATTAAAATATTAATTTCTTAAAAATTTAAAAATCTAAATATATTAACTAAACATCTAAGTCTTAAATTTTAATATTTTAAAATTTTAAATATACTAATCAAATAGCAAGCCCTGACTATGGTGGACAACCCTACAAAATGGTTCACCTCTAAACCATGAAAGAAAATATACTATCATCTTTGTTTTTATCTTTAAGATTCAATTTAGAATAATTGTTTTTTTTATAAAATTAAATTTATATTATCTTTTATATGAATTATTTTTAGACTAAAATACCCACAATCAAAATATATTCTCTTAATTTAATAAATTATATTAATTACATATTTTTTAAAAAAACTTAAAAAACATGCACTCTAATTGATTAGGAGAAGGAAAATTGTTAACTAAAAAAGATAATTAATATAGAATATGAGTCTAATTAGTTAGAATATATATATATATATGTGTGAATATTAATTAGGAAACAAAAATAGTATCAAAGTAGTTTTAGAGAAAAAAAAATATATAAATAGGACAAATTTGTTTCGATGAAGGATTCACTTCCTCTAGATTAAGTTTCGTTAGACTTTTTTTTTTTTTTATCAGCTAAAGTTTCGTTAGACTTTATTCAATAACCCATGTTTTATATCAAATTTTAATGATACAATTATTGAATTAAAAGTTTTTAATGCATAAATTATGTCTATAATTTTTTTTAATTTTTTAAAAACTATTCGATATTTTGTTTTATTAATTTCAAATTGATGAATAGTAATAAAAATATTTTATACATTGATGTGAATCTATATATTTAAAATCATATAATTTTTATTTATTTTTAAAAAATTATAGACTTGATCTATTTATTACAAATTTTTAATTTAACAATTAAATTGTTAACATTTAATGTACAATATCTGTTATTAAATAGAGTAAGTCTATTATGATTTACTCTTAAAGTAATTAAAATATTTTTCATTTATTGTTATCGATTGCATTAATTATTCTTCTTAATTCGAATGAATTAGATAATAAACAAAACTTAGGTACAATTTTTTAAATGTGGTTGATACTATTCTTCAATAAAATTTAAAATTTTACTTCGTTAGTATACACTTACATTTAATAAAAATCCCATTAATATACATTTATTATATGTATTATTGATAAAATTTTAATTAAAAGAAAAACAGTAATCACAACTAAAGAATAAAAAAATTAGTGATAAATTTTGTACTTAGCTAATTAGTCTTTTATGGAAACGGAGACAGTAATATTTTTCTGTTTATGTTATTTTTTATTTATTTATTTAAAATTGTGAAATGGCGGGGAAGTCTTTTAAATATATGAGTGTGGATAACTGGATTAGAGGATTTGTGACCACAACCACCAACAACTCCAACCACCTCACCGTGCTTCTTTACAGCAGTTATATTTTCCAGAAACTAAACCTATACAACACTTTCAACAATAACCACCATAAATATTATAATAACTCCAAACTCATATGGTAATTAACAACACCTCCGTCATTTTGAAAACATGAAAAGCCTCAAACCAGTGTGAAAGCACCAAATAGAAGCAATAGAAAATCACTATTCAGTATTCACAATTGAAGAACAACACTGCCCCGCCACTGTCCTATAACCTTAATGTCATAGGGCGAAAACAAACTTTTCCCTAATATTAAATTTTACCATGTCTTTATCTTCAACCTTCATTTTCTTCAAATATATCTAACTCTCTAGAAAAATTGCTTCACTGCTGATCTGTGTCTCTAAAAACATTTATCATTTGTTTCATAGATTCAAAGTACATTTTGCCTATATATCAAAGTTTTGATAACAAATATTATTAAGTAAATAAGCTAACCTGCGAGCTCCATAAATTAAACTTCCTAAGTCCCTAGGTTTTATGGATTGGATAAAAATTTATTATAATCATACAATTTTTTAAAACAAATAATGAGTCTATTTCTGCGAGACCCATGAGTTAAACGCATAGATCTGCGAACTTTGACTAATATACTGGCTTCTACTCTTAACTACTATTTTCTTTATAAACAATAAAATTTCATCAGTTAAGTATTTGGTATAAGGTGGAGTGAAACATGTGAAAAATAAAATATATGGAATTAAAGAAGTGAAAAGTAAATAATATATATATATATATATATATATATATATTTCCGACGGAGTGGAACTCGTAGGGGAACTCCGAGGGGAAGGCAAAGGCGGGGTCCAAGTGGGTGTTCTCCTTGTCGAACTCGGCGTCCTCCATGGGCAAAGGTTGAAGCTTGAAGGAAGGAAAAGGGGTTTAAGAGAAAAGGGGTGCGAGGCCGTTACGAGGGTAATGAAGGGAACAAGGAAGTTGAAGTTGCTGGTTGAGGAAGATTTAATAATGACCCAGCTGTGTGTTCAGACGTAGGGTCCCAGCCAAGGGCGAAACCGAAAAAGCAAAAGAGAGAGAGAGAGTCAACGGGTCCTCGCGTGTTCCCTCGCCAACGACGACGCCGTTTGAGGGTGGAAATGACGCGTGGGATGTGTTGTCCGCGGCTGCAGGGCAAGTTGCGAGGTTGAAGATTAACGAGGCTACTTCGAAGATGAAAATATAATTAAAAATTACAAAAAACAAAACCATATATTTAGCTATTTTATTTTTACTAGGAAGATATATTCCTACAAATTTTATTTGTCTCTCTTCAGTTTTATAGAAGGTGCAACGGCATTCAAATTAAAACTTCTAAAAGGGTATGCTTATTTTTATTCTTTTAGATTGTTAGTATCGAAGAATTACATTAGACTTTGAATAATTAGAACCGAGACATGTAGATTTATTTATGGGGATAAAAGCTTTTCTAACTTCTATTTACTTGAAGTTAAAAACGTGAATGTTTTAATTTGATATGGAAGAATAAATTTAAAAAGTATTGGAATGAAAGTGAGATATGAGAGAAGCCCCATCTCATGATAACAGCGTATTCTTCAAATTAACTTGGTGATGTTCGTGAACTACAACCAAGTCAAATCAACATCATTGCTCTTAGCTTAGCCATATATAATCAGCACACTGATTACCTGAGTGTTTGTGATATCTGCTCTCTTCAGTCTCTAGCAAAAAGTTAGAATTATAGATAATACTATAATGTGACAGGATGAAAAGGAAAGGAAAAAAAAAAAAAGTTTACTTGTACGTAATTCATGTAAAACAAAGTATTGATGAGGTGGGAAATTATGGTCACAGGAATATCGTCACGTATCTCTAAACTTGTTTGGGACAAATGGGTTTGGGTTGGGGCCACACGCATGCATCTATCTTCTTGTTGAAAGATGAGCTCCATCATAGACTATATTTGGACCACCAAACCATCACTTGTCACAACACACCCCATGAAAGAGTGAAAGACATAGTTAACCATTTTCGATATAAGTTCGAAATGTTTTTTACTTTATTTTTTCTAGAGAAATTTTTTTTTCTCTAAACTTATCCAAATAGATTCTCATTATATAACCATATAATTAATGCTATAAAGTGATTCAAGACCATTCTATATATATATTTCCTGCAGAATAACCAGCTTCAGAGCAAGACACAACATCGCCAACATTCACCGTGGCCATGGATTCAGATTCCCATGTAAGTTTTTAGTCACAGGTTGACCCATATTTGTTTAGTAGTCGCCTTTAAATTAAAGAAGCACGAATTAATCTTGTATGTTTCAACGTATTTTTGTACTTCATTTCATTAGTTGATGATACAAGTCATGATTCATGAATCTATATGTATGTTTGGTTGCAATTAAATTTGAACAGGCTTTGTCAGAGTCTTGGACAATAGGGGAGAGGGTGTGTGCGGCGTTGATGCCATTCATAGCGGTGGTTGAGGTTCTGATGTTGGCTGTGACAGGATGCTTCAGCATTATTCAGAACCATAAACGTGCCTACACTGCTAAGGATTTTGCAAGCCTCGCTCATCAAACCAGATGTAATTCCTCAAATTTTTATTTCGTGATATTAAAGAGAAGCACTGACCCCACTGGCCACTAGTGTATTATAATGATTCTCTTCCATGTGGGAAGCACTTTCCATATTATGAGCTGTTATGGTCATAGTAACATTCTTGCCAGCTTTGATGGGTCCAAACTCCAGAGATCTATAAAATTTTTCTAACAGCTCTCCATAACGCAACTCTATTGTAATGCTCTGAATTATATACATTGAATTATGTTTTGCCTTTCTCCCTCAAATATTTTTTATCTCCTTAAATTACCTCTAGATGGGTAAATTTGTCATTTCAAGTGGATTTTTCATTTCTAAAGTTTCTATCACCATTCACGCCTAATTTTGCTATGTTTATCATGATACACTATTTCAAAGTATACAATTAGTGATTATCTGAAGGGGGTGCTGTGCAGGTACTATATACTAAGTATATTATTATGTCTTGACTTAAAGCCTTTATTTTTGAATGAACTATTTTGAAGAATTAAATTTGTATAATATTATGATGTCTTGACTTAAAACCTGTATTTTTGAAAGGATAGAAAGTGGAAAGTAAGTTCTGCATTTCCATATGCAATTGTGATTTGCTAGTTAGAACTTTGAACAATGAGTTCCAATAGTTGTTTTTTCTGCTGTTAATAATGCAGTCACAGTTAATGAAGTGGAAGCATTGCATGTGCTGTTTAAAAGGTTAAGTAGCACCCTAATTGATGATGGCTTGCGTCACAGAAAAATACTTTTAAAAATAGATATTTAATACTCTTAATCCGGGTAAACTTTCACATAATAAAAAAATCTTAATTTAAATTATAATTTATTTAAAAGAGCGACAATAAATGAGTATCTAACTTTACAAGAGTTTAGTGACTATACAGATTAAACCTCAAGTGTGTGATTCAGCGTTAAGGGTTGATATATGCTTAAGCAAGGTCAGGGATTCGAATCTTACCTTGTGTATACAGCCATGTTAAGTTTTTTGGCGAGGAGATTAGTCATTGCTATCGGGAGTGGATACTCCAAGAACGAACAAAAAAGTGACTATACAGTTTAGTGTAAAAAAAAACAAATACTCTTTACGCCGCTTTTTACTTGTCTTTATTTAGTAAAATTTTATTTTATTTTATTTATTATTATTTTAAATTTCAAGATAACATTAATTATAATTAATTAATTTATACATAATAATTAATATATATTTATTATGAAACAAAAATAAAATAATGTATAATAGAGTATCAATTTTTTCATCAAATTATAATTAAGGTAATTGAATAGTTAATGAAAACACAAATTAAGAAAGAAAAAGTTATAAAATTTAAATCAAAGTACGAGCTGGACTCATCTTGGGTGGGTAGAGGAAAGTGTAATAGTATAGCTGTTCCCGATAATTGCATTATGTTACAATACTTTTATTTTTATATAAATAAAAAAAGAAATACGTACGTGTGCATTTATTGCAGTTAATTTTGGGGTATTGATCCACAGAAATCCCGTGAATCAATATTTAAGAAGTGGCTGACGTGGACCATTCGTACGTGGCCATCATCGGATTTCAAGGCCATCATCCAATTTCATCTAATCCGTTTCCCGCCAAACCCATATTGCAATATACCATGCATTTTTCATTTCTCATCAAAATTCAACAAATTACCTATAAAACCATTATTATTATTTATTAATTACACGAATAACAATTTTTACTAATTTTATTCTTTATTTTATAAGCTATTATTATATTTTCTTTTTTTACATTCTGATAATTTCAAATCACTATACTTCTCTCCCCTCCCTCTTAATCCATTCTAATTCTTGAGCACCAAACACATCGTGAAAGTTAATTTTCACACTTCTTTCTTATTTGAAGCCAAAAAAATTGAAAACTTAATTTTTTTAATTCATGAAAATTACTAAGTTTTTTTATATTCGTAAGAACAACATTTATATATAATAATAAATATAATATTACATTAATAATATTAATTGATGATGTCTGAATTCATTACCACATCATAAATTTAAAGATTAATTATGAATTTTTATATTAAAATTTATCAAATAAACTCAAATCATTAACTTGGCATTAGTAGGTATAGGTGTCAAAATTGACTTAATTTAACAAGTTCTTTATTGTTAAGTATGAACAAAATCATGGAAAACAGGTCCAAATAGACCAATTAAAATTAAGTTTGAAGAGTACTAGGCTTAGGGTTAAAACAGGTCAAGTTGAGTCAAATTTATGAAGTAAGAGCTTGACTTGTGAAAAAAAATTATTTATAAACTTTGCTCATTTATTTAATTGAGCCAAAATAAAAACTTGAACTTTATTTATTATGAAGAAAAATTAAGTTTGAGTTTGACTAGTTTCACTCATTTATAATTTATTTATATATGTTTTTTTTTAACTTTATCAATATAATTTTTAATAGTTATTTTGATACAGGATAATTAGCTATACTGATAGAAAAATGTATTTAATATGTGATACGTGTAATTATTATTTTATGATTATTACGTTTTGTAATTTATTAAATAAAAAAGTATATCTAATTTACTATTAAGAAAAGGAAACTTCAAAATTAGTTTACATTTTTTACGAGACAACACTTCTTCATCTGGCAGAAGGTAGTGTTTTTTATAGTAAAATTTCAATTTGGGAGATTCGGAAAAAAAATTGTTTCGAAAAAGAAAAGGCCATAACGATGTTCAGTTACGAAGTAAAAAAAAAAACGAAAACAAAAACGAGAAGCTCAAAACAATTAAGATATCAATTGTTTTCACTCAGATTTTTTTAAGATTTAACTAAAAAATTTAAGTAGTAATAAAATATTTTTCTAATAAAAAATAATAGTAGAAGATTATGTAAAACTATTTTATAAAAGAAATATCATTATATATAATCAATTTATTTACAGGTCTTTAATATCAAACTTTTAAAGGTTAAACTAAGTTTATTTAAATAATAAAGTCTAATACTAAATTTGAGTTTGTTTATTTTATTAACTTGACGAATTTCAATGAATAACCGACAAATTTAAATAATTTACAAATAATTTCACTTATTTACATTTTGTCTAGACTTATTTGCTGATTTTTTTTTCTTTTTAAATTAGGCAATTGTTTTCGATAACAAATTTATTATATCTTGTGTCTATGATTAATTCATTATTGTGCCAAAACACGTATAATAAATGCTTGAGGCAATAAGTTGAACGAATAAAGTAATTATATTTCAATGTATTATATTATTTTAAAATAAGTGACTTATTTTACCTCAACTTAACAAATCAAGGGAAACACGTGGCCGAACTGCCCGGATTCTGACACCTAGTATGAGGAATCATATTAAACTCGACCATTTTCATAATTTTAATATATTAATTATTCTTTTGAAAGTTTTAAGATGTGTATTTTTACTTTTTAATGTATAAAATAAAAAATAATAAAACTATTGTTTTTGTGTCTATTTGGGAGTCCAATGACACGAATGATATTTCTACACTCTCAAGTACCAAATGAAGAAATGTCTATTTGTAACTTTTCATATAACTATATTTTTTCAAGTTAAACCACAATTTAAATATAACATTATTATCTCATAGTTTTGTTATTTGATTCAATAATCATTATTGAGAGTTTTGGGACATAAAAACACTCAGAAAACGTTGATTTTTAAAGGGTTGAACTATAGATAAGTGGACTCAACTCATAAAATGTATAAAAGGAAGTTGACAACCTAAGTTTTTAAGAACTTTGGATAAAAGTTAAAGAGATCCTTTCTTTCTTCTCCTTCCTTATCCGGGCTTTCTTTTTAAACTCTCTTCCTTAACTGATTCTAGTGTGTTATTAGCTGAAACCCGAGCTTGTGAAATCAAAAGATTCGAGTTAGTGTTGTACGAAGTTCTTTCTCTTATTCTCTTGCGAATTTGAGTCTCCAAAATGTAAAGAAAGTTGTGATTTGGATTATTGAGTATGTTGTGGGGGTGAAATGTTGAATATGACTTGATTCTTAAGTTGATAAATAGATTGGGTGGTAAACATGGTGAAGTTAAGTGGGTTCTTTTGTAACTTGAAGTGGTGCAAGAGAAATGGGGTTGAATTCTTGATGGATGCTTGTTGCATGTTGTTTCTGATAGTGTTCCTCAACTACATGTATTATTATTTATATGTTGTTTATACGATTGCATGTTGTTGGGATTACTAAATTTCAAGTTTGATTGGGTGAAATCAAATATTGTAGAAGTGTATAAATTAATATAAACATCGGGCACGCCTTAAAGGCACTGAGTGTGGTTCCAAAAATGGGCTTTTGTCTCACTTATGTTGGACATAGAATTGGTGGTATAAAGTGTGAGGAGAGAGACTCGTTTTGAATTGGAATATCATCGGGCATGATTGAATGGTGTCAGGTGTGAAAAGAGAAAATCATCTATGTTTGGGTTCATGTGGGGCACTAAGGTATGTGGCATTGAGCGTGAATCAGATATAGAGCTCTTTGTCTGATTGAGGTCATACGTGAATTTTGTCTCCTCTAGGTTCTATGTGGTATCGGTGTGTCGATAAGGCCAAGACACATGTATATAAATTGACCAATGGAGTAAAGTATCCAGGTTGAAGACTTAGTCTCTAACCTAGTATCAGAGAGTTGTGGTATTTGGAGGTAGCCTATGGACTAATCTCATGAGTGACTTAGTGTTGTAGATTAATGTTGTCGTAGACCCATATTCAAAATGTTTTACCATGACATAATACCATACTTCCTTGTTTAAGTGGTAAGACCCGAGAAATCAATCTAACTTATGTTAGCTGTTGTTTATGGTATTATACTAATCGTTGTGATTCGATAGTGTCAAGTTACCTAAACTGCTTAACTTTATATGTAGGAGATCTTCATAATTAATATGCGTGACAATGGATTAGATGATATAAATGTATGTATGTTGATATGATGAATATGTTGTGAGTTGTTAAGTTGTTATGATTATGATGTTATCTTGTTGTAAGATGAAATATTTTAATATAATGATGTTTTATTAGTTGTTATGTCGAATTTTTATCACTAACTTACCTTATGTTTTTATCGTAATTTGAACTGCGATGATCATACTTAATATGAAAGCAAAGTAGGATTAATAGGATGACTTATAAAGTTTGAAGGTGCCTAAATTTTTGATTGATGGCTACTTTTATGTTGTTAGGTTTTGTATAAACATTGTCTAACATTTATGTTTATTTTACAACTAGTATTATATTTTGTATATATATATAATATTAATTACTAGTTGTATTATACATTATAATTCTGATGTATGTTATCTAATTTTTTGCTATGCAATAATTGTTCAATAGCAAATATAGTGACATGTTGGATCGTTACATCAAATATATTATTTTTAAAATTAGAGTGAATTGAGTTGAACTCAATTTTTATCTTAACACACAATCTAAACTCTAAATATTGACATAAGCAAATTGGTCATTTTTAACACATGAGAAACCATATTACATTTGACTAGTTTCACAATTTCAAATATATTTAATTATTCACTTGAAAGTTTTGAAATGTGTATTTTTACCTTTTATTGCATAAAATAAAAAAAAAATTAGTGTTTTGTGTCTGTTTGTGAGCCCAATAAGATAAACAAGATTTCACACATAGGGATGGCAACGGGGCGGGTCGGGTACGGGTTTCATGATACTCGTCCCCGTCCCCGCGAGTTAAACTCATCCTCGTCCCCGTACCCGTACCCGTC